AGAGCCCAGGGAAGAAAACCCCCTCTGAAAAAAACTCACAACGGCTGCCTATATCTCGATGCTCTGAGGGTGTGCTGAGAGCACTGGCCACCACTGGGCAGCCAGAAAGACCTGGAACATGGCCTGACAAGGAGCACAATGACCTTGGACCTGTCAACTCCCCGGAGGCAGGGAGAGAGCCTGAACCCCAGGAAAGGCTGTACGTGAAGGAGGGGGTCATAGTGCCTTACTAGGCAGTTTGGAGTCCCTGGAGCTGGACTCTGCCCCATACCTGCTCTGCTGGACAGAGAGCAGCCAGTGTCCCAGATGAAGTCAGGATGGGGAATAGGCAGATGTGAGAGAGGGCCAGTCTGGGGTCCTGAGTGGAGGCAGGGGTTGGGCATGGGTCTGGCAGGCAGGGGGGGCTGTGGGGGAGTTAACTTCACCCCAGGAACTCTTCAGCTGCGCTGCTCTCCCCAGCATCATCATCTTCTCGTGTCCACACCTGTCAGCAGCAGGCCCTCCCTTCTGTTCCCACAGCGCTCTCCTACCTCCCTGGTGACCCATGACCTCTTTCCCGTCTCCCTGAAACCCACATCTTCCATGGCCAGTGGCCCCTAGTGCTCCACCCAACACCTGTCCCTCCAACTTCACGGGGGCCCACCATCCGACTGGTCACCTGAGCAGCTTTGATTCATGTTCATCTTCCCAGTGTCACCCTCAACTGTCTCCTCTTCACTGTCACCACCCCATCAGGGTGGAGAATGCTTATCCAAAGCCAGGGCTCAGGCAGGGGCTTGAGAAACACCTGGTCTCAGGGCTGTGGTCCAGTCATCCCACTGCAGAATGGGGGTGCTCCTTGAGAGGATCTAAGGCGATTGTGTGCAAACGGCCGGGCTTCGGCTACTGTCCTTAGGGTCACACGTACCAGGTGTCTGAGGCTCTAAAAATAGCTCACTAAACAGCTAAGCAATTGTTCATGGGTCCTGAGAGAATATGGTTCCTTCAGTACTCTGCACCTGACTGAGGTCCAGACTTCAGGCCACCCCACGTGCGCCGGAACGGAACTGTGTTCCACAGGGTTTTCAATAGCTGAGTTTGTGGACTTCAATCACTAGGACTTTCTTTTGGGTGGATTCAAACCTCCCACCTTTCGGTTAGAGCCATTTGCACAACCCGGAGACTCCAAAGCTGCCTTTGAGCCGATTGTATATATGATTCATGGTTGGCCCCTGTGTGTCAGAGTACAACTGTGCTTCATAGAGTTTTTGGGGTTTTGTCCAGTAACTGAGTTTTCAGAAGCTTACCAGACCTTTCTTCTTGGAGGTGTCAGGTCTTTTACAAAGCTTGCTCAGATGCCCCCAACTGCTGAGGTCTGCTTTTATTGGCTCGTCAGATCTGGGTCTCTGCCACCTCTAGCTGCAAGGGAGTCTGGGAAGAAGGTGAGTATTTTCACTTGGGCACACTGACAGCCAAAAGAAAGTGGGGGTCTTCATAGAAATAAGGCAGAATGGGTATTAGGTATACACTAGGATGGTCAGGAGTCTTGAGGTGGCGCTGTAAGATAAGCACTGGACCACAAGGTCAGTTTGAACCACAGGTCGACAGCTCAAACTCATCGACTGCTCCTTGGAAACCCTATACAGTGTCGCTATAACTCCATGGAACCGACTTAACCCTAACTCTACCCCACAGGAGTCCTGGTGTGGCGCTGTGGTCTAATGCGTAAAACTGCAAAGTCATTTAAACTTCAAGGTCTGTGGTTCAAGCTCACCAGCTGCTCCTTTTGGAAACCCTACATGGGGTCGCTATGGGTCAGAATCGACTCGACGGCACTTAACAACAACCCCACTTAACAACAGGAGTGTCTATCCCTGTTCCCAAGATGTCCCCAACAGCTCCTTCAACCTCACATCCCACCCACATCTAGGCCCAGCCTTCACCTAGCCGTACACTTCCTTTACACTTCCCACTTCCCCATCTGGCTAATCCCTGGCCTACAGAGCCTAGCCGGGCCACCTCCGATTCTCTGCTCTCTTAGGCCTGACTGTATACAGAGATGAGCAGTGTCCACTCAGTGACAGGTCAGGCAGCTGCTAAGAAACTGGTCAGCCTGAAGGAACTGACAAAATGATGCTTCAGTGAAAAAAGGCAAAGAACAGAAAAATGCCCAGGCTGCACTGGGTGGGGTGTGAATGTCTGTGGGATAGGGCCTCGTCCAGAAGGTTCGGGAAGACTTGTAGAAACCAGAAATTGTTCAAGGATTCGGGGTAGAAAGGCAGGGTTTCATTTTGCATTGTGTTTGAGTTTTTTTGCGTACCACAGTCTTGTGTTCCCTTTTCCAATTAGAATTTTTTAAAATCCAAATCAGAAGGAAAATAAAATGTAAAATAAATTCATTAAGAAGCACACACACCCTTGACTTGGTGCCAGTTTTGCGTCAATCCTGGGGGACCCCACTTTGCAGCATTTGTTCCAACTGGTCCATGTGAAGTTACTCCCCTGAGTTACCCGCCTCCCCCTTTCCAGGTAACCCTTTGTTGCCTCCCTTCTGTGAGGGTTTCCAGTCTGGTTTTTGTTCCATGAGACATGTGCCCGGTGGGCAAGCAGCAGCTTGTCTGGGGGCTGCTGCCCACCTCAGACCAGGAGCAGAATGGGCTCTGTAAATACTTTTGTCTAAATGAATTCCTGAAAAGAGGTCGTGTTGGGACCTTTCTGGGAGACACAAGTTTGTGAAGAGGTCCAGGGAGGTAGAGACACCATGGCTGTATCTCTGCCTGGAAGGTGAGCAGTTCTCCAAACCAGGGAAATGGAGGACAGGCCACATTCTTGGGCTGACAGTGAGGGCTGGCTGCTGAAGATTTGAGCAGGGTGGTACCACTTTGCCCCTGTTACCTTGGAATTGCCACTGTGAGGCTCAAAGAGGTGACAGGCCTGTCCAAGGTCACCCAGCCGGGCAGCTGGAGTCAAGGGATGGTTGTATCTCACACCCCTCTTGGTCTCTTCAGACCCAAGAGAACCGGAGTGACAGGCCCGGGTACTGCTGTCTGCAACTCCAGGGAGGACTAACAACGCATGCTCGGCCAGGAGGCTCTCCCTGGCCTCCTGCCCCAGAAACCCAACTGACAGCATGGAGCGGAGCTTAGCCCTCCCTTGTCTGTCAGTCACAGGACCTCTTGCTTGGCAGTTGTGAAGGAAACTGCCCCATTCAAGGAGCCCAGGACTGACTCCGGAAGTGGTGGAGCACCCCCTTTGGCACACAAGGCCTCTTTCAGGTAACCCCCACTGACCTCTTTGTTGTTGTTGTTGTTAAGTGCTGTTGAGTCAGTTCCAATCCATATATAGAGTTTCCGAGGAGCAGCCGGTGAGGTTGAACTGCCGACCTTTCAGTGCAAATGGCTTTGTGGTCTGATGCATTAACCCACAACGCCACAGCAGGACTTCCACTGACCTCTTAGGGTGGGTCAAAGCTGACTCTAGGCAGTGGCCAGATGCCCCCTTCCTGGTTCATATGGACAGCTCTGTGCACCCTCAGAATTCCTCCAATCTCTAGCTCCAAGCCTTTACTAGCTCCTGCCTTGTCCTCCCTTTAGCTGGGAACCCCAAGAGCTCATCCCTCACGTCACTACCCTTGTCGACCCGCCAGAGCACAAGCTTCTGGAGGAATGAACAAGTCATCCAAACCAGGCCTCACAGTGTGTCAGAGTAGAACTGCGCTTCATGTCTGGGTGGACTTGGCCTTCCAACCTTTCTGTTTGCAGGTGAGGGCTTAACCATTTGTACCGTCCAGGGTTAGTGTTGACCTCCATGCCGAGCCCTGGCTCAATGGCCAACGTTCCACCCACACACTTTTCTCTCTCTCTCACTTGGGCCTCAAGCCCCCATTAGCACCACTTTGAAGTAACCTGCTCAAGATCAGGCTGGGCAGACCCCAGAGCCATATGGACTCCAGGACAGGGGTTGGGGAAGGACGCTCTCCTATAACACACAACAAAGTGCCACCCTCTTACAAAAGACAATTAAGTTTATTTGCCCTGCGGCTTTTGTATCATAATTGTGCTGCGCGGTATAGAGCTGGTTATACCTTGTGAAGGATTTGGCTTTCTGGAATAGCCAGTCACACTCCCCCAGACAGCAGTACCCAGGGCAAAGGTGGCCTGGAATCTGAGCCAGACCAGCCTTCATGCCCTTGAGCACTGGACAACCTGTACACACATCTGCCCCCCATCCATTCAGTCACATGACTGAAGCTCCAGTCCTCCAGGGATGGGCTCCTCTCACTCCCTCTGCTGCAGAGCTTTGTCTGTCCCTACTTTCCTGCCTTCTCAGAGTCGGGCACCGAGCACTCTCTGCCAGAAACACTATTTGCTAGGGATGGAGGAGGAAATGACCTTTGGTTTATTTGTGGCCCGGAGGGATGGGGGGAGCAGGGTGGGCAGGTCCCTTTCCTGAGGCCTCAGGACACTTTGAGACCCACTGACTTTCCCTGGTCACTACCGTATGGGCTCTCCTTTCTCCACTGCCCTGTGCCTGCCTCTCTCTCTTAAAGTGACCAGGATTTGCAGCTTCCTGGGGCCCTCAGTGGCCCTGACACCCACTCACCCTGCGGGCAGTGCTATATGGAGGTGAGGTGCATTGAAGACCTAGTCCTTTGACACCAGAGGCCCCCACCTGCCCCTCTGTCACTGACACAGACAAGTGACCAGAATGTCCCTGAGGCTCCGCTAGGGGGCGGCGTCTGAGTTGTGGCCTGGTCCATCCATGGGCTGGATGGAGGCAGGCAGTGTTGGTGGGTGGGGTTGGAGTGTGAGGCTGGGCTTCTGGAAACCTCTGAGGGGCAGAGACAGACATCCAGCTTCGTCCCAGATCTTCACAACTCTACAAGGCGGGTGGTGTGAGCATCCGCATTTGAGAGCCCAGAGAACTGAGATGGGCGTCTGTAGCCCAGCTGATGAGTGGAATTCAACTTAAGAGTGGTGGGCTCCTCAGTCCCTCCACCTGGGTGGGACCCTCTGGGTCGGGTCACAGGCTGGAGGGTTGGGCCAGGGCGGGTCCCGTTGGGGTGGCCCCAGGCACAGCCTCGCCATCGGGCCTGGCCTCCTCGCCGCGCGCATACGTGAGCACCACAGTGACGGTGGCGAAGGTGGCAGCGTTGACGGGGAAGGCGCGCAGCAGCGTGGATGTCAGCCCACGCGTAAAGACGCGCCAGCCCTCGGCCTGGTAGCTCTGGCGCATGCAGTCGAGGATGCCGCAGTAGCGTGGGTCGCCCCGCAGCCCGTCGGCCTGTAGCCGTGACTTGACCACGTCCATGGGGTAGGTGGAGAGCCAGGACAGGATGCCCGATGTGCCGCCTGCCAGCAGCAGCTTGGGCACCAGCAGACGGTCCCCTGGCTCGCAGCCCAGCGCGCGCGTCATTACGTCGTAGGTGAGGAAGTAGACGCCGAAGCTGGGGGTCTCGCGCAGCAGCGTGGACACCATGCCACGGTTGACGCCACGCAGGCCCTCATGCCGATAGATCTGCACCAGGCAGTCCAGGGAGCCCTTGTAGGTACGCGCCGGGCCCGCATCCTGCAGCTGTAGCCGCGTCTTGGCCAGCTCCATCGGGCAGCAGATGACACACTGGATGGCGCCCGCCGCAGCGCCTGCCAGGAACTGGTTCAGCGGCGTGTCACGGCCCAGGGCGCGAAGCGTATTACCCTGAACGCCGAACACCAGAGCGTTGATGAAGGTGAGGCCCATGAGCGGGGAGCCCAGGCCCTTGTACAGGCCCAGCACCTGTGGGCAGTGGACAGAGGCCATCAGGGTGGCAGGGGCTAGAGGGGCCCCACCCCCCACCCCCAAGGTGTTCACTTAGGAGGGAGCCGCTGAATTGGATAAAGACAAACGCCACGCACCATTTCCAAAGATCTGATTCATCAAATAGTCCACGGATTCCTCCCCCTCCCTTGGCCGGCCTGCCGCCCTCCTGCCAGGTCATCACTCACACTCTCCTGACGGATTATGGACTGGAAGCAGTGCAGAGTTCCTCGATACTGGAGTTTCTCCACGTTCTGTACCTGAAGCCGCACCTGCAAGGTGAGGTCTGGGCTGTGAGCCCTGTTTCAAACAATCATTGAGGCAGGGAGCCAAGGAGCTGTCTGTGGTTTTGGGGACCCCCAGGGAGGGAGGCCTAGGTCTACATGCACTTCTGGGAATGGGTTAGTGGGCGAGCAGACACAGGGACCACCAGTGGTCTGGGTAGCAGGCGGTGGGGGGTCTCCAACCACCTAGCCATCTGAGCTGATACAAGCTCCCATCTTCCCTGCTGCTGCTCAGTGTGCCAGCTTCAGGCAGCTTTAGCTCCTAACACCCTTCTGATCATCCTGTTGTTATGTGCCATCGAGTCAACCCACAGTGACCCTGTACAGGGTTTCCGAGGCTATAAATCTTTACGGGAACAGAAAGCCTCATCTTTCTCCCACAGAACAGCTGGTAGTTTTGAACTGCTAACCTTGCGGTTCGCAGCCAGATTTGTAACCACTCTGCTACCAGAATAGAGCAGCTATTGTCCTGAGCGCTCATCCAGGGGTTCCCAAAACAGCAACGGGCTCCCAGGAGCCTCTCCCAAGGACGGGGGTCATCAGTAAATAGAGTGCTGCTAGCCCAGCTGGCCATGAACGATTCTGGGGCTTGGGGACATGGGTCAGACCCAGCCTCCTTCTGAGAACCTTGGTCATGGCCAAGCTCTTGGTTTGCAAAGTGTGCTCGGAACCCCTGGAGCAGTAGGCCACTCCCAAACTAGAATCAGGATCCGGCGTCTGGGTGGGGTAGATTAGGTAAACCCCATTCTCAGGAGCTAGTTCCCAGCTCTGACTCTTAATCAATAACTATGTCGGTCAAAGGTGACCCTGAGTGCACAGGGGGCTTCACACCTGGGACCTGTCCAGAGTGTACTGTGCCCATTTCAAAGAGGGGAAGCCCGAGGTGCAGAGAGGCAGCATTTCCAGGATTGCAGCTCAGTGGAGTGGGAAGGTTGGTGGGTGAGAGCCAGACTTCAGCCTAGATTCAGGCACCTTTTCTTACTCTTCTCATTCATTGTTGCTGCCACTGTGCCAATCTGTCTCACTGGGGGGAGTAGGAAGGGGGGGTCTTCTTCTTTTTCTCTAGCCCTCAACTTTACCAAACTTGATATCCTTCTTTAGTGATTGGTCCATCCTGACAATATGTCTGATGTATGAGAGACAAAGTCTGGCCATCTTGGCTTCCAAGGAGCACTCTGGCTGCACTTCTTCCAAAACAGTCCTGCAGTCCATGGTACTTTCAGTATTCTCCTCCAACACCGTATCTCAAAAGCATCAGTTCTTCTACGATCTTCCTTATTCACTGTCCAGCTTTCGCATGCATATGAGGTTATTGAAAATACCATGGCTTGGGTCAGG